CGTGCGCGCAGTGCTGCGTGGCGTGGCGTGGCGTGGCGTGGCGTGGCGGCGCTGTCCTCCCCTCCAGCTCCCCCCAAGGTGAGCCGACCTGGCCAAGGCTTTGAGAACTCGAGGGTTCGGGGAGACCCGGAGGAAACCACCAGGAGGAGTGGGGAGTGTGGACTCCGTGGCCCTCGCTTCTCACCCCCCGCATCTCGTCCCTAGCACGACGGCCAGCCCTACTGCCACAAGCCCTGCTACGGAATACTTTTCGGACCCAAGGGTGAGTGTGGTCAGGAGGGTCTGGGACGCGGGGCCCCCCTTTCTCCACCCCTCCCCTACCACCTTTGCCCCTCTCCCAACAGGGGTGAACACCGGAGCTGTTGGCAGCTACATCTATGACAAGGACCCCGAGGGCAAGGTTCAGCCCTAGGCCCCCAGGCCCTTCTGCGGGGCATGGGCCCGCCTGCACAGTCCCCTGGCCAGGGGCCCACTGCTTGGCTACGAGGGGAGAGTGACCGCCGCCCAGTCCCACCTCAGCACCTGCGAGTCCAGGGCCTGCGTGTTGGGGAGGAAGCCCCTGAGCTGACTCCAGAGCCCTGCCCACCAACCCTGTCTCTGGGTGTGTCTGCCTTTGTGTCCCCAGCCACCCGTCACCCCCTTTGTGTCCTCCTGGCCCCCCGTGTCCCCATGTCTGTATCTCATGGCCCATAGGTCCCTGAATGTCCCTGTGGCCTGGGTGGGTCTTTCTGAGGTGGCCGCCCCACGCTCCCCCTCCTGCTGCCCGGAGTCCTGCCCACAGTGTTATTTATGCCCCCCCTGCCCGTGACAGCCACAGCCACGCCCCTCACAGTGTCCCAAGGGTAGAGGGACATCCCTGCCAGGAGCCCTCTGCCTGCCTCCCACCCTGCCTCACAAGCGCCCGCCCGCCACCCTCATGTGGCTCACGTTCAACTGCCAGGGGTTTTGCTGTCAATGAAAGGTTTGAGGATCTCACAACCCCGCATTGTGTCTGTGTCTGTGGCATGGGTGTGAAGCCGGGATACCGTCCCTTCCTCCGGGGGTCCTCTTCCCAACGGTGGTGGTCGTGGCTGGGAGGCAGGGAGGCGCGCTGGTTTAGGCTGTGGTGCCGACACTGAGGTGGGCTGGGCCCCTGAGAGGCACCAGACTAGCTGGACGTGGGGAGGGTGGGAGGCATCCGGCGGTGGGGTCCTGGTCCCCAGACATGGGCACCAAAACCAGGGGGTCCTCCGATCCATCAGAGACCCAGAGGGAGAGGTCAGCCTCAGGAAAGAGCAGAGGGCGTGGCATGTGGAGGGAGAGGGGGCAGGTGACCAGAGGAGGGGTCCTCTGCAGGGGGAGAAACCGGTGAAGGGTGGTCAGGGACGAGGTGGGCCTTCAGCCCAGGAGGAGCCTGGAAGTACAGAGGGTTTAGGGGGAGTGAGGCTGAGCGTGGTCGGTCGGCCCCGGCGTTGGTGGGAGCCCAGGGACAGAATGTGGGCAGTCTGAAGGAGGGGCCTAGGGGCTCCTGCCTGAACAGCATCCCTGCATCTGGGCTTGCAGTGTTCATAGAGTTCCCTCTGGCCTCCCCAGGCTGTCCAGGCTCTGCCTTTGCAACCGGGAACTCTCAGTAGCTGGGAGGAGGCCTCTCATCTGCCTTCCCTTTACCTGCTGGCCCCCGGGCAGTCCACCAGAGGGCGCCCCTTCTCTTCCACTCCGGGCGCGGGGGCAGAACCCTCGGAGACCTGCCCTCCAGTGCTCAGCCCTGCCCTGGCCTGCTCCCAGCACCCCACCCCCAGATGCCTCGCCCTCCCCGAGCCAGGAGCATCATCCGGGCCTGCTCATTCTGGGCCCGTGTCCCCAGCACCATAGGCAGCCGGCTCCCCACGTGCCCTGCCCCCAGGGACAGCTCCCAGCGCCCCAGCCCGTGGCACAGGCCTGTGCCTGGCCCGCCCTCCAGTACGCGGGCCCAGACACAGCTGAGCCTGGGTGCCCGGCTCATTGTCCCTCTAGCAGCCATCCGTGTCCCTGGGGTGGAGGGCCGGCTCCCGGTGTCTGCAGTGCCAAGCCGCCCTCCTCCTGCCCAGTCCAGGCGCCCAGCGTGGGCGGCAGCGTCTCCCCGTACCTGGCCGGCGCCTGGAGCGCAGCCAGGATGTGCAGGGTGGGTCGGCCTACCCTGGGGGTGGGAGGCGCTGGAGCAGGTGCCCCAAGGGCGCCCAGTTCCCACCCCAGGCAGAGGGGAGGTTCGGGCAAGCACGCTCGGAGGAGGGGCTGGGACAACACCCCTCCACATTCCCACCTCCCTCCCGCCAGCACGAGGCTCCTTGGTTGGGGGGTCGTTTGGGGGAGAACTCAGGCTTCCCTGAGCACCCCCAGGCCCACCCTCGCTGAGGGCTCCCGGTGTCGGATGGGAAATTCCTGTCGTCCGGCCGGTTAGGGGCTGCTGAGAGCACAGCCGGGGCCCCTCCTCCGGGAGGCTCCAGGGGAAACTGCGTGGGGGAAGACTTGATCTGCGGCGCGCCCTTCCCCAAAACCCGGGGAAGGGCGGGGCCTATTCTCGTGTGAAGGCCCGCCCCGGGGGGTGGGGCGAGGGCTGCCGGGGTCGCCTGGAGGGAGGATCGGCCCGGCCCTGCCAGGGACGCAGTGCCCTCCCACTGCCGGGGTCTGGCCCGGGAGGGCGCGTTCCACTCCCTGCGTGCGGAGGGTGTCGCGCCTCCGTGTTTGTTTTCCGCGGGGTTGTCATGGAAATCGGGGCGGGGCCGCGACCGTCTGTCTCTGCGCGGTCGCTGGGTGTCGTCGGTGGGGCCCGCGTGTGGCCCTGCGCTGCCGGGGCTCTCTTGGTGACACCAGCTCCAGGAAGCCTCCCCGCAAGCCAGGTGTTTCCTCGGGCGCCCCTGCAAGACGCAGGGGAGGCCTGTCCGGTGTGCCGCCTTCTCCACCCCCCCCCCCCCCCCTGCTGCCCAGACATATCAGAATCTTCCGTGGTCCGGTGCCCCTGCTGATCCCTGCCCCTTGGCCATCACGCACAGAGCGCCCTTTCCCCCCCCCCCCCGCTGCCCGGCCTCCACCCCCACCCCTCCAGCCCGGTCCCAGCCAGTTGAAGCGGCCCTGAAATGCCATCTAACCACCTCTGTTCCATCCAGAACCCCAGGGCTGGGCACAGCGCCCGGGCCTCCTCCGCCATCCTGCTGCCCAGCTGTACCCCACCTCCCACCGGTCCAGTCTTCCCCAGTTCCTCGCCAGGACTCTCCAAGACCCACCCTGCATCCCATTTCAGACCTGGGCCCTAGCTGGTACCCCCACCCTCCAGGCATCTCTGTGGGGCCTGCAGCTCCCTCGGCCCCCCACTTCCCTGAGGCCCAGAATCCCCTGCCCTAGACCCCCAGCCCCTCTCCCTCCACCTTCCCCTGGGCCAGTGACCCACCAGTGCCAGCCCTCTGCTGTTGGAGGCTCCCTGGGGACCCCACCCAGCTAGGCCAGCCTGGCTGAGCTTCTCTAGGCCTGAGGGAGCATGACCTTTCTCCAAGCACCAGCGCACTGGTCACGGGCTGTGGCCCCCTGGGTGCTAAGGGTCAGGAAGTCACCTAGTGCCTGTGACCCTGGCTCTGGGCCTCTGGGAGCTAGGCCAGGCAAGGACTGGCGGGAGACCGGGGTGGCCAGGTGTGGGCAGCACGTTTTCTCAGGGCCCAGCTGGCTGCAGGGGTGGGTTTATGGCCATGAACACGCCCAGCTGCTGGCCTGATGAGGCTGGAATTTGAGGCGGTGCTGCATGGGCTTTGGCTCCAGGGCACAGAGGTTCCTGGAACCAGGCTCAGCCTGGGGTGGGGGGAGGGGGAGGGCAGAGCGGGCTGAGGGAGCTCAGGGTTGTAGGTGCCCCCATCCCTCCACCCCAGCCCCTCTGCCTCCCGCGCCTGCTTCCAGCAGAGGAGGCGAGGGGCCTTCTCCTACCCTGGCCAGGCCGTGGCCTGGTGGACAGGATCAGCGTCCTTTTGGGAAAGCACAGAGCCCGTTCCCTTCCCCAGTCCCAGGGCCGCCCGGGGCAGGACCTCGGGCCAGACAAGGGGTCCTGGGAGACAAGCTGTTAAAAATAGGCCCTGGGAATGTCTGAGTCTCCACGACTCCGCCTCAGCCGGGCCTGGGGGAAGGGCAAGGAGGGGTGGACTCCGGGGGCAGGAAGCCAACTCTGGCCCCAGGCTCAGCAGTGGTCCTGGAGCACTTGTTGGCCCTGCAGGGCATCTGGGTGCAGGAACACCAGACAGGCCCTGCTGGCCTCCAGCCCTAGCAGGGGACATCCTTACACCTGTCCACACTGAGGAGGGGGCCCGGAGACTGGGGTGCTGGGCACTGGGTGGGGGCTTTGAGAATGGTAGGGAAGAGGCCGGAGGCAAGTGTCACAGTGTATGGCGGGGCGGGGGTTCTGTCCAGCCCTGAGGGGCAGAGCTCTCCTGGTGGATTCCTCAGCGGTCACTGGGGCCCAGCCCTGCCTTCACCAATTCTCCCGGTGCCTGGAGCCCAGGCAAGCCCTGCCCTGGGGCCCCAGTCCGGCCCTCTGCATCCAGAATTCTGCGGCAGGGCAGGGTCCTGCCCAGTTCCCATTTGGGTCTCCAGCTGAGCCTCAGTGGGGCTTGAGCAGGCGAGGGCGCGGGAGTGCGCAGAGAGAGGGTGAGCGTGTGGAGGTGGCCTTGGCCAGGCAGCCAGAACTCCGCAGTGACCTCCCCCCGGTCTCAGGGCCCTGGATGCCCTTAGGCTGGCTTGGGGCAGAGTGGACATTCTGGGCACAGAGCAGCCTGGGGCAAGTAGCCGTCCTGGCCACTGTCCCTCACACTCCAGACGCAGCCCCTGTGCCTCCAGCCAGTGCTGGGAGGGAGAACAGCGCAGGGCCATGGTGCTGGTAGCGCTGGGGCGGGCCGCATCTTGGGGTGTGCGAGGTGCTTCACTCTGTGCCTTCCATGGGTTTGTGCAGCAGATGCCACTAGGACCCCAAAGAGTAAGGAAAGGGGTGGAGGGCCAGGCAAGGCAGATCTGGGTCTTGAACTGGACTGGTGGTCCCGAGTCTGGCTGACCTTGGGCCAGGTCATTGCCACTCCCCCACAAGTGCATCCTGGGCAGGTGAGCCCATGGAAGCAAGAAGCCTGTTCCTGGAGGGACTGTCAGGGCCCTGATGGGCACCCAGTCAAGCCTTGAATGGGGGTGTGCCTGGCCATGGAGTCTATAGGGGGCTGAAGGATCTGTCCACCCACCACAGTCCCCCAGTGCTGGGGGGTCTGCAGCTGAAGGGGTCCCCACCCCCACAGGTGGGCAGGACAGACAGGGAGCTGGGGGAGTTGAAGGGGCACATCAGTCTGTGACTGAAGCTTTGGGACGGTTCCAGGCAGTGTGTGTGTGTGTGTGTGTGTGTGTGTGTGTGTGTGTGTGTGTGTGTGTGTGTGTGTGTCACCCGTGAGTGTGTGTGTGTGTGTGTGTGTGTGTGTGTGTGTGTGTGTGTGTGTGTGTGTGTGTGTGTCTGTGTGTGTCTGTGTCTGTGTGTCTGGAAAAACCGTGCTATGTACCAACCAGAGGGCAACGCCCATGGCCCTCGGCCCCCCCTTGGCATCCTCCCCGCAGCGGCCCGTGCTGTGACCATGGCAATGGCAGTAACAGCAGGGAAGGCCAGGAAGAGATTCATCATCCTGGTTTTCAAGGGGGGGCTCTCGGCTCCCCCCACCCCCAGGGTCAGGCGGGTTTGGAGATCCAGTGCTGGTGGTGTGGAGGCGTCGTCCCTGGGGACAGGTGTGTGCAGGGGAGAGAAGCCGGCTCACAGCCCCACCTGGCCCGGAGCCCTGAGTGGGCTGGGGGTGTGGGCCGTACAGAAACATGGGAAGGCAGCTGCTCAGAGAAGGGCCTCGTGCCACATGCCCCAAGAGACACCCTGATGGATACGCCCACCCAGGAAGGCACTGGGACACGCACGTGCGCATCCAGGCAACCTGTCGATCACTGTCTCCCTCCAGCTCATCATCCCGGTGGAGTTGACCTCTGCCCAGCACACCCGCTTGGGGCAGCCTTCTCAGGGATCTGCAAGGCGGTGCGTGCAACACGTGTGGCCTGACGCCCGGGATCTGCTGTGACAGACGCCCACCTACCCCAGGGTGTCCTGCCCCGTGCCCCCCGCCCACCCGGTCCCCTCCATCACCAGGGGTCTTTGCCCTTCCTCCCCTCCCGCTGCTTCTGCCTGTCTGCATTTCCTGGCTGTGTCTGTGTCTCCGTGTGCCCCGTCCACCACCACCCCCGCTCCGTCACTCTCCTGTTTTCTCTCCTGCCCACCTCGCTCTCTGGATCGTGGAGCCAGGAGATGAGGGAAGCCAGGACCACCTCCTGTTCCTGGCCTGGCCTGGCGGCATCAGGCGCAGGCCAAGGAGACACCAAGGGCCGGGTGGGGGTGGTGGGGAGGTCGGGCCGGTGGTGTTGGCTCCAGAAACCATGCTGAGGTGCCCCTGTGCCAGGCAGAGAGGGTGTTGAGGCTCTGGGCCCAGAGCAGGCTGGGCTGGGGCTCCACCAGTGCAGGGCAGGGCGTGCACCGCCTCCTGAGGGCAGTGGGCAGCCGGGCACCGGGGCTACCCGCCTTGTGGACCCCAGGGCTTGCACAGCTCCGGGGGGGTGGTGGCGCAGAACTATGGCCTCAGAGAGGGGGTCCCAGGGAGGTGGGAGTGACTGGTGAGCGGTGTGGGGGGCCCGCCGCGGGAGTGTGGGGTCCAGCGGGCCGTCCTCCTCACCGAGGCTGGGGTGCGGCCGGCCTCCCTGACCCTTGAAGGCTGGGAGCTCTCACCGCCACCCCGACCCGGGCCTGGTGGGGCGCCGTCGGGGTGGAGGCAGCCACGGCTTCCACTCCTGGTTCTGGTGCCAGACTCTGGGCGGGGCTGCTCGCAGCGGGTGGGAAGGGTGAGGGCGTCACTGCGTGGGGAGGCCGGAGCTCCTGGGCCCTGTCAGAGGATGGTCTCCAGCACCCTCCATGGGGACAGGGCCTGGACAGGCCCAGAGATGACGTTTTGTTTGGCGAGATGGGTGTGTTGAGGGCACATGAGGACGCTGTTAAAGGTTCAGGGTGTAGGATGGAGAAACGGCTAGGGAGGTGGCCTGGGTGACAGTGATGGAGGAGGGTTGGCCCAGGCAGAGTCCTACAGGGCACAGAGCACTGGGACCCCACCCAGGCCTCCACCTCAGCCTGGGCTAAGGGGCAGATGGGAGGCCGGCCAGCCACCTCCCCTCGAGGGCCCCACCCCCTTGAGATGCAGGCCTCTCCGCTGGTCCGCAGAGGCTGGCCTAGGACCCCGCAGCCCGCGAGAGAGCCAGCCCCCTAGGTCTTCCCCATTCCTGGGGCGGGTGGGGTCCGCGGTCTCTGCCTGGCACGGGGGAGGCTCCAGGGCCGCTCCCGCTTTCCTTGGACCGCTCTGCACTCGGCGCTTCCCGCAGAGATAAAGACCCCTCCCCCGCCGGCCCCAGCATCTCCCAGACGGCCTGGGCCGGCCTGGGCGTCGCCGCATCCACTTCCCGCCACAGAACCCCCAGCCCCCGCAGCCGATGGCTGTCCCTGTGGAGGAAAGGGATGCCCCGTCGCGGAGTCCCCTCTTCTGAATTCCCTGGGGACGTTCCCGCTGCCGTCCGATGGACTTCCAGGGGCGGGCCTGAGGTGGGGCGCGTGAGAGAGACCGGTATGTCCCTCGGGGGTGGGGAACTGGGGCGGGGCGGGGCGGGGCGGTCCTCCTGGCCCCGCGCGTGATGGAGGCCGCGGGTAGTTCCTGGGGGAGGGCTACCAGGCTGAGACTCCCCTTGCAGGTGTCCCCAAATCTCCGTCGGGGCAAGGGGACACGCTGGTTTGCATCTCTTTGCATTTTAGAGGTGACCGGTTCCCTCCCTGGCTCCGGCATATCTGGGGCTGGGGGTGGGATGCTCCCTCCTGCTCTTGGGGAGCCCGCTGCCCCAGATCCCGGACCCGGCGAGTCCAGAGTCCAGGGCGAGGGGCGGGGCTCCTCCGAGTTCTCCAGCCCCCGCCCCTTCAGTGAGTCCCCACGGATCTCCTGCACTGCTCGGATCACGCTCTGTCGTCGGCTAGGCCCGGGTCGTACCCCAAAGAGGGCGTGGACCAGATGACCCTTTTCGGTCTGTTGGCTTGGGTCCGAGGCCTCCGGGCCCAAGTCCAGGGCTCAGGGGGCGGGGCCCTAGGGGCGGGTCCCAAAGGGGCGGGGTCCCGGGGTGCTTGAAAAGGCGAGGACCTGGCGCGACACACCCAGTCCCGCGCTCCGCTCTGCTCCCGCTCAGCCTCCTGACCCGGACCCGGCGCCACCATGCCCAAGTGCCCCAAGTGCAACAAAGAGGTGTACTTTGGTGAGCGCACTCCACCCCCACCCTCCCCGGCTCGAACTGTGGGTCCCTGAGCCGCCCCACGCGGAAGCGCGGCCCAGGGTCCCCGCCGCGGGGCCGCTCAGGTGGGCCGGGGGCGCAGGGGGACTTGGGGCACCGCCTCGGGGCGACGCCTCAGCCTTGCCCTTGGCCGCCTGGATGTGCGGGTCGGGACCCCTGCGTCGGACGGCCCTCCATCTCTGTGCCCCGCTGTCTCTCCGGGTCCCTCTGGGTCTCCCGTCTCTGAGTCTGCCCGTCTCTGGCTCTCCCGTCTCCGGGTTCCGCTCTCCAGCCTCCTCTCGCGCGCGCCCTGGGAGGGGACCCCGAGGGGTGGGAAGGAACGCGAGGCTCTGGCCGCCCCTCCCAGCGCTAAGTAGAAACAGACGCGGAAACCGGCGTCCCGGGCGCGAGACCAGGCGCGCTCAGATCCCGGGCGCCACCTTCCTGTCCCGCGACCCGGGGCCCACCCAGGAGAAGGGCAGGAGGAGGTGGGAAGTCCCACCGCCTCGCCACGGGGAAGGGCGCCCCTTAGGCCCCACCGCCGTCACCGGTGCAGAGGCGGAGGCCTCAACCCGGTAGCCCGCCCGGGTACCGACCCGAGGCCCCCTCGCCTCCTCCTGCAGCCCCACCCAAGCCCTCAGGGGCGCGCTCAGGACCGACGCCCACCCCCGCTAGTTGGGCGGGACTGGTTGGGGACTGGAGGTGCCCCTCTCCCCCCGTGGGGCACAGGTGCCGCTGAGGCCTTGGGTGGGCCACCGGGCATGCGTGGGCGAGGCCTTGAGCAGAGGTGGCTGGAGAAGGTGCTGTGCGAGCAGGTGGGTGTGTCCCGTGTCCCAGGAGCAGTGTCTCACCTCACGGGGCTGGGGACGTGTCTGTCGCTCTGCAGCTGAGCGGGTGACCTCCCTGGGGAAGGACTGGCATCGCCCATGCCTGAAGTGTGAGAAATGTGGAAAGACGCTGACCTCGGGGTCTCACGCCGAGGTAGGTGGGGCCTGGAGGGAGGCCGGGGCATGGGGGAGGGGTGCCAGGCACTCATGCGCCTCTCTCTGCAGCATGAAGGCAAGCCCTATTGCAACCACCCCTGCTACGCGGCCATGTTCGGCCCCAAAGGTATGCTCCCCGCAGCCCCCACCTGACCCTGATCTCCACAGCCCCTGGCCACCCCTAACCCACTCACTGCTTCTCTGCAGGCTTCGGGCGCGGTGGGGCAGAGAGCCACACTTTCAAGTAAACCCAGGTACACCCCCATGCCCCTCGCCTTGCCCAGCCCAGCCAGCCCCGAGAGTGGGGTCCCCCACCCTGAGTGAGGTACGACCCCTCCCGGGGCCTGCACTCACCTCTGTCCTGTCTCTCTGCACAGGTTTTGGAGACCCCAGCCCTGGCTGCCCGCCGGGCTGCTGCCCCTCTAGGCCACCCGGCGCCACCATGCCCAAGTGCCCCAAGTGCAACAAAGAGGTGTACTTTGGTGAGCGCACTCCACCCCCACCCTCCCCGGCTCGAACTGTGGGTCCCTGAGCCGCCCCACGCGGAAGCGCGGCCCAGGGTCCCCGCCGCGGGGCCGCTCAGGTGGGCCGGGGGCGCAGGGGGACTTGGGGCACCGCCTCGGGGCGACGCCTCAGCCTTGCCCTTGGCCGCCTGGATGTGCGGGTCGGGACCCCTGCGTCGGACGGCCCTCCATCTCTGTGCCCCGCTGTCTCTCCGGGTCCCTCTGGGTCTCCCGTCTCTGAGTCTGCCCGTCTCTGGCTCTCCCGTCTCCGGGTTCCGCTCTCCAGCCTCCTCTCGCGCGCGCCCTGGGAGGGGACCCCGAGGGGTGGGAAGGAACGCGAGGCTCTGGCCGCCCCTCCCAGCGCTAAGTAGAAACAGACGCGGAAACCGGCGTCCCGGGCGCGAGACCAGGCGCGCTCAGATCCCGGGCGCCACCTTCCTGTCCCGCGACCCGGGGCCCACCCAGGAGAAGGGCAGGAGGAGGTGGGAAGTCCCACCGCCTCGCCACGGGGAAGGGCGCCCCTTAGGCCCCACCGCCGTCACCGGTGCAGAGGCGGAGGCCTCAACCCGGTAGCCCGCCCGGGTACCGACCCGAGGCCCCCTCGCCTCCTCCTGCAGCCCCACCCAAGCCCTCAGGGGCGCGCTCAGGACCGACGCCCACCCCCGCTAGTTGGGCGGGACTGGTTGGGGACTGGAGGTGCCCCTCTCCCCCCGTGGGGCACAGGTGCCGCTGAGGCCTTGGGTGGGCCACCGGGCATGCGTGGGCGAGGCCTTGAGCAGAGGTGGCTGGAGAAGGTGCTGTGCGAGCAGGTGGGTGTGTCCCGTGTCCCAGGAGCAGTGTCTCACCTCACGGGGCTGGGGACGTGTCTGTCGCTCTGCAGCTGAGCGGGTGACCTCCCTGGGGAAGGACTGGCATCGCCCATGCCTGAAGTGTGAGAAATGTGGAAAGACGCTGACCTCGGGGTCTCACGCCGAGGTAGGTGGGGCCTGGAGGGAGGCCGGGGCATGGGGGAGGGGTGCCAGGCACTCATGCGCCTCTCTCTGCAGCATGAAGGCAAGCCCTATTGCAACCACCCCTGCTACGCGGCCATGTTCGGCCCCAAAGGTATGCTCCCCGCAGCCCCCACCTGACCCTGATCTCCACAGCCCCTGGCCACCCCTAACCCACTCACTGCTTCTCTGCAGGCTTCGGGCGCGGTGGGGCAGAGAGCCACACTTTCAAGTAAACCCAGGTACACCCCCATGCCCCTCGCCTTGCCCAGCCCAGCCAGCCCCGAGAGTGGGGTCCCCCACCCTGAGTGAGGTACGACCCCTCCCGGGGCCTGCACTCACCTCTGTCCTGTCTCTCTGCACAGGTTTTGGAGACCCCAGCCCTGGCTGCCCGCCGGGCTGCTGCCCCTCTAGGCCGATGGCAGGCCCTCCCCACAGGCACCTGGGGCTCCCCTGTAGACCCTCAAGCCCTCAATAAACCCGGACACTTGGAAGACCTAGTTGTGTGTGCACTTCACTGGGGGAACAGTGCAGGGGGCTGAGGCCTGCTGGGCACTTGCTCTTCCTCCAGCCTTGCTGCCCACTGCCCTAGCGGGGGGCGGGGGTACTCTGCCAGGGAGCCACCCTGGACAGCCCTGCGTTCAGCCCTGCAGATGCCCCAGCCCTCCTCTGCAGCTCTGGGATTGGTCAGGGGGAACATGAGGGTGCAGGGTGAATCCGCTGAGCTGGTTCCGTTTTTTTTTTTGTTCCGTTTTTGAGAAGCTTTGGGGAGCTGTGGTGGGGAGCCCTCTCCTGCCCTCCCCACTTCCTGCTGCTCCTCCCTTGTCCCCATCCCCACCCTGCTGGACTGGGCCAGCCGTGCATCCACCCAGACACCTCATCTGCCCCCGTGCCATGCCCAGGGACTAGCAGGTGGCCGGCTGCCCAGTAGGGACTAGCAAGTGGCTGGCTGCCCGATGGGGACTTTGAGGTGAGGACTGGCTGGGCGGCAACGGCTAGGGGCTTTCTGAAAACTCCCGTTTCCGTTCAGGGAGCAGCTGCAGACTGGGCCACCCTCGGAGCCCTCACCGTTCCCCCTACTGGCCACTCACACTCCGGCCCTGGCAGACGGCCACCGTCCTAGGGCTCGGCTGATCTAAGGAGCCCAGAGAGGTCAACTCAGCCTTGCAAATGGCCTCAGCCCTGCCCCATGGCTTGGCTGGGGGTCCGGCAGGCCTGAGCTGGACAGGCGTGGGGGGCCCCAGGGTGGTGTGTGGGGTCACGTGCGTGCGTGCGTGCGTGCGTGCGTGTGCGAGTGTGTGAGATTTGGGTGATTCATAGAATTCCAAGGGGTGGGAGCTGGAGTGCTTCCAGGGACAGATGCAATTCAGCGGGGGAGGCGGGAGCAGAGGATACTAAGTGAGGCCCGGTTTCTCAGTGGTGGGGTGCCGGGGGTGGAGGTGTCATCTGGGGGCCCAGCAGCTAAGGGCTTGTGGCCAGAGCAGGCACAGAGGGGGGAGTGGGTGCACCGGAAGGTTCGCGCCAAGCTGCTGGGAGGTGGCCCTGAAAAGGCAGCAGACTCCTGGCCCCTCCGCCACCTCGTGGCTCACAGTCTGGGTGTGGGGGGCAGACTTGGGGTGAGCGCTTAGAGCGCTGAGGCCCACAGGGAGAGTGGGTCAGCCAGGCCTCAGGCTGGGGAGGAAGGCACTCCGAGCAGAAGGCCCAGCAGGTGCAAAGGCCGGAGAGGGAAAGGGCTCATCGGGTTCCAGACCCAATGCATCAGGAACCATATTGGGCGAAGGCTCCAGGGCGCTATGGCAGGCCTTAGCAGCATGGCCAGACTGGAGGCCGGTGCTGGTCCCAGCCCCAGCTCAGGAGGGGCCTGGAGGGGACTGAAGGTGAGGTGAGGGGCAGACAGCAATACCCCCGTGCCCGTGGGGGAGGAGGGCTCTCGGGAGGTAAGCTGCCCTGGCGCTTGTCAGGTGGCCACTGAGACAGCCTCCTGGGGTGGGGGTGCCCGGGTCAGAGGCCAAGTTCTGGGTTAGTTCTGGGGGGACACAGGGAGTGAGCAGCTGCTGTGCCTGAGACGGTAGGAGGCTGGGGGGGTGGGGGGGTGGGGGCGGGCAAAGGTGAACACCAGGCGGAAGGTGGGGCGTCAGGCGTGACCGCATTTCCTGTGGGCTTGGCGAGGGCTGGAGGGGGACTTGTCTGGGGAGCACTTGGGATCCAGGGAGGCCTGCTTCCTTTCTCTTCATCACTTCTCGCTTTCCCTTCTCCTCTCCTTCCTTCACTCTGTCCTCTTTACAGCTTTATTGGGGTATAATTTCATACCGTAAAACTCACCTATGCACATTCGATGCTTTTTAACCAGTTCACAGAGTTCTGCAACCGTCACCACAATCCAGTTCTAAACCATTCTCCTTAACCACAAAAATTCCCTCGTGCCCATCTGCTGCCACTCCCCAGTCCTGGTCTCTTTCCAGGCCACCACTGACCTGCCTCCTGTACACTTGCTTTTCTGGACACTTCCTATAGATGAAAGGCACGTACAACATAGTGTTTTGCATCTGCCCTCCTGTGTCTGCGCTTCCCGGCACTTTGACCCGCGTCAGTGGTGCCGAGAGAGTTCCGTCCTAGGGCTGACTGCCCAGCTGGCGGCCTTTTGGGTTGTTTCGGTTTGGCTGTTATGAACAGAGCTGCCTTGAACGTCCGTGAGTGGGAACACGAGTCCTCACAGGTTCCGGGCACTGGAACTGTGGGGTCGTCTGGTAGACAAGTCTAGCTCTGAAAGAACAGCCGAACTGCTTTCCAAAGTGGCTGTGCGGATACTCCTTTGAAGACTGTCTCTTCAATGGCAGGAAGGAGAGGCTGAAGGTGCAGGGCAGAGGGAGGCCGGGGTGGGGTGGGGATGGGGGTAGGGGGTAACGGGGGCTAGCCGGACAGACGATGGACTGGACGGGGAGGGGCCAGGCGGGGTATGCAGGCGTAGGTTTGAAGGGGCAGAGAGTCGCCGGCAGTCCGGGAGGAGCACCCGCCCGCGCGCTGCGGGGCTGAGCCGTCGGGGTACGTCCCCCGGTAGCCGGACGCTGGCCCCTGCGTCTCCGGCCTGGTACGCGCGGCGGCGTCCCAGGGCTTCCGGAGGCCAGAGAGGGCTTCCGGAGGCGGAGGGTCGCTCCCGCGTGTCGGTGGCGCCTCCCGGCCGCAGGGGGCACGCTGAGCGCCGCCGCTGACCCTCCGGCGGTTGCTAGGCTGCCATTTGGTGCAAGGGGCTGATTGGTGGGGTCCGGACGAGGAGAGTCAGGTGTCACCGCGATTGAGTCGCGGAGGGCGGACCCCGCGAGGCTCTCAACGCCGATGCGTCCCCGACGCACCGGAAATGTCTCCGCACCGGACAGAACAGACAGCACTCAAACGCCGGGGCACCGCTCATTGGGCAGGAGCTAGAGGCGTGTCTCAGCCTACTCGGTGGTTGGGCGCGGACCCAGCAGAGGCGGCACCTGAGCGGTGACTGGGCGCGGGGACGCAGCTCTCGCGGGGATTGGTCGCGGGGACGCGGCGGCGGCGGCGCGCAATCTGAGACAGGCGGGCGGAGGCTGCATGGGGCGGCGGCGGCGGCGTCGCCGGCTGCACCCG